ATATATATATATATATATAAAATTTCATTTCAGCCGGTAAATTTAAGGGCACTAAATTTTACACAATATTTATTACAGTGTTTCTTTATCCTTTTTATATCTATAGGATCTTTGGTGATGTCCTCTTTTTCATTCTTAATATTGGTAATTTGTGTGTTTTTTCTTGGTACATCTGATGGCTGTAGGTTTATCTACTTTATCCTCAAGAACTGGTTTCTTTGATGCCTTTTTCTCTTTTCAGTTTCATGGATGTCAGCTCTATTTTTATGATTTCTTTCCATTTGCTTGCTTTGAGTTTAATTTGTTGCAAGTTTCTTAAGGTGCAGGTTTAAAGCATTAACTTATGAATGTTTTTCTAACATAATTATTTCATGCTCTAAATTTCCTCCTAAGTAATGCTTTCACTGTACTTTCCCCTAACTTTGATATTTTGATATGTGTTTTTATTTTTACTCTACTGAAAACACTTTTGAATTTCCTGCCTGACTTCTTTTAGCTATGGGTTATTTACAAGGGTCTTGCATAATTTTCAATTATCTGGGGATCTCCTTGCTGTCTTTGTCATTGATTTGTACTTTCATTCCACTGTGATCAGATAAAATGCTGATTTGAATTTTTAAATATTTGTTTAAAATGGCCTTATTGCTGAGACCATTTTCTGCGGTGCAGATATCACTTGAGTACTTGAAAGGACTACTCTGCTGCTGTTCCGGGTGCCTCTGATCCAAGGAGCAAACTCCTCTCAGTGTCACCATGCTTTCGGTGACAATACCTTCATCATTTAAAAACATTTTTGTTGTTCAGTTTATCACTCAATATCCAGTAAGAGGGTTACTCTCTTATAATCGGCTTTATCCTTACCTGTAGGTACAACTTATATGTTTTTGTGGCACAAGACACACCACTTTCTTATTTTTAAATGACTGTTTTTGTTGCTTTTCAAACAAAAGCATCCTAACTGGTGCATAAACTCAGCAGTTCACAATGTACTGAACAGAATGCGGAGAACATGTTGGAGTGAGGGACAGGGAACTCTGAAACTAGACTTACTTTTTGATTTGACTTGACCTATAGTAAATTAAATGAGAAACTACTTTTCCACAAGGCAGAAACACATATGCCTTTTTTTTTTTCCTTACTTGTAGGCAAAAATTATTACAAAATATTTCCACCACAATTAGAAATGGAGAAACGAACGGAGAGATGGGTCACCTTTACACTCAGGAGCCGCGCTGCTCCATGTTTCGTAGCCAGCACAGTAAAGCACTTCGCTGCCAACCAGGGAAAGCTGGTCCGGCCCCGGGACGGGGTTACAGCTGTAAGTCACGGCTTCCAAATACTCAAACACGTCGATGTCATTAAAGGTGTAATTTCCATTTTTTATCTTTGGAGGTGGCCCACACAAAATCTCTTTTAAAAAGAGAGGAAGGTGGAAGCAAAGACAAAATTGACACAATATTAGTAAAGCTTTTTGAATTGCCCGTAATAAACTCATCAGTGTAAGAGTTCTCTAAGCTAGCTGTGTAAATTCAGTATCCACCTAGCAGGTTTTCTAAGAAGAAATGTATTACCCCCAATTCAAACTTTTAATACAGAAATGAACTTCCAGATCAAGTTTTCTGGTATGGTACAGAATACCTATATTCATCTGTAAGGCCAGCCCAGGGTTTCTCCTATAAGAAATGCTGGCAATTTAATAAGAAAATATACCTGTGCTTAATAATAAAACTGAGCACTACTTGAGAACTATTTTATAACTTGTAAATACATCTGTTCTTTAAATCGGGATTCACAATAACAGCAGCACTCTTTTCTCAACCTCAGGATGACGGTACAGTGATTTCTGTGGGGGCCATGAACCTTGGTTACACAGTTACCCAACCCCAGACGTCTTCCTTCAAGCTAAATGGCAAAAATGAGATGTCACTATTTTATTATTCTGTTTTTGAAATATTCCATAAAAATGTTCCATATGTTAACATATATTGAGTATTTTTGTCCTTGAAATGAGTTAATAAATAATCCTGTGTAAAACCTCTCCAGTTTAATTCCAATATGATCTATATTAGGAGCCATGCCCCACATAAAGAAAAGCTCTTTGGGGTACTTGTTAATCTAAATGCATTAAGGGATCCCCTGGCCCCAGTCTAAACCTTAAAAAGAGAATTTACTTACTTTTACATTTTGGGACACTACTACTCCAACGCACCTTATCGTCTTTAAGCTCACAATTCAATCTTTCACTACCAACTAAGTAAAACCTAAATGAGAAAAGAAAAAGTTACTGTTTCCTTTAGTGGTTAACAAGATGTACTTAACAGTGAGGGAAATGTCTCTCTGCTTTTTGGTAGTTTGTGATGGATTTCTTAAACAGTATACAGTGAAACTGCCAAATAAACTTGCGTTCAATCAGAGGAAGAGTTTCTCGGTCGAGCACACCGCTGGAGAGGAGCGATGTCTTGATGCCTTAGTCTCCTGGAGACCGCCTGTTCGTCCTGCAGTTGCGTCTGGAATCCTTTGCTCACGCTCTGCTCAGGGCCCAGGACAGGAGCTGGAGCTCGGCCGCCTGGGTTCAGGTCTCCGCTCTGCGACTGAGGCTGCCAGGGCTGCACAAACCACTCCCAGTTTCTCTTGCCCGGTTTGCTCTTCAAAAGAGCACAGGAATCGCGCCTCACAGGGCCCCTGGGAGAACGAGTCTGTGGCCAGGGGAGGAGTGCTGGCTCTTGTTTCTGTCGTTTAGATCGAAGATCTTTACCCAGGCATGCTACTCGATGACAGAAATTCACAGGAGTCTCTCCTCCAGACCCTCACAGTCATCATCGTGAATCATCCTACTTCGCTGTCTCCTTTACTATTTCACTCTGACAGTGCTGCATATATTGTCTTTCTCAGAAAGGTTACAGCTCCCCTGGGAAAGTTCTATAACCTTTGGTTCCCTCAAAGAGTCTAGCAAGCTCTCTCTGTGTAACCTAAGATGGGATTTTGCAACATTTTTACTTAATCAAGTTAAAAAAACAAGCCAGCCAGTGAACCTGCATGTGGAGAGTCACAGCTGATTCGCGCCCAGGACTCAGTCTTATTTTAAATATAGTGTGCTACAAAGGAGCACACTTCTCATGCATGCCTAGCATCCCCACTGCATACTATTAAAAGAACTCCACTCCTCAGAGCAAAGGCTCGTATTCAGTCGCCAGGTCCTCTTTTTGAGATACTTTAGTTCTTTGTCTCAATTCTCAGAAATAAGCTTTTCCAGCTGAAAGATCTTTATTAACCAGATCAACCAGTCAGGTATAGTCTGATTAAGGCCGGTCCCCTGGAGAAGAGCATCTTCGGTTGGTAGTTTACCTCCCATTTCCTGCTGTGAAGGACAAAGTCACCACACTTCACTGCACTCCCAATGCTTCCAATAGGCTTATCATTCCATGTAAGTATTGTACAGCTTTGCTTCCTGTCAACTTCCTTCTCTTCATTAGACATCTTATGTGCATTAAGCACCTAAGGGCTGTATGGATAGGAGTAAAACTTGTCACAAAGAAAGCAAAATTAAGGGAAATGGGGTTGGGGATTTAGCTCAGTGGCACCACTGCCTGCCTTACATGTGCAAAGTCCTGAGTTCAATCCCCAGCACCAAAAAAAAAAGAAAAAAAAAAATGAAAGGAAATGTACTCAGATGCCTAAGAAGGCAAGAAAAAGGAACGGAATCAGCAATGTTTACCTTGTTTCTTCTAAGAAGCGACTTACCCATCGACACAAGTAAAGAGCACTTGATCACCCCATGCAAAAGTTTCATTTATGTAGTCTATCCTGCCGTTTGGAGGAGGATTGAGATAATAACATTTCATTTCTAAAAGAAAAGAATTGTGAAATTTTAAAATCCAGCTTCCAAACCCAAAGTCCTGCATTGCTGTTTTGAATTCATAGAATATTATTTTCTTTATTTAACTACTATGTTATAAGGGCAAAGTAAGATTCACCATTACTAGGGAACCAACTGCCAAGAGAAATATTCCTTAGGAATTTCTCAAAGATTGAAAAAACACTTAATCAAAAGCCTTGTGTCATGTGAGAAAATTGTCATTGCAAAAGTGATGTACACACTCTAAAATGTGTGAAAATCTCCAGCGCAAGCAGAAGAACCCTAAGTCATGTCTACTTACTGACACACCCATCGTCGGTAATGGGCACCCACGTGTGATTCTTCTCACAAGTAGCAACCATGAGATAAAAAGGCAGGCGATTGTATCCTTTCTTACACTTGTACTCCACTTTTTCCCCAATGTGATAATAGGGCTTAGGATTTATAGGATCCATGGCTTCAAACGGTGGCGGCAGCACACAGGCCTCTGGGGGAAAGCAGCAAGAGCAGGAGGGTGAGGTATTAATACCACCTTCGCCAGCCAGAGACTGGTGGGCATTCGCTCAGGCAGAAAGAACAGCAAGCTCGTTGGTAAGCTCTAAACAGCTGTTCTGTGCTTTTACTCTAGTGCAGGCAGTAGGTGCAAGGACACCCCTTGATTTTTCAAAATAACATCACAGTGGCTTTGGGCTAATTTCAGAATAAACTGAATCTCCATTTGACAGTAAACCAAAGGGTGCCATCCACAGTTTTGGCCTTAAAAACAGACCTAAGTATGCGTCTTCCTCCACTTAAAAAAAAAAAATCCTTTCAAAATTAACACCTCCTCTAATAAGACTTCTCTGGCTCGTAGCACTCTGCCCAGACTGCTGTCCCATAGTTTGAAACACAGATTGGCGAGCTGGCCACTCTGAGCACTGTCGTCCTTTAGAAGGCAAATTCGGGGGTCAGGGCCTATGTCTTCCTTTTCTGCTATACCTTGCACCTCGTGGATACCCGAGAAATGCTGTGGTGAGGGGATAATCAAATAAGCATTGTAGCTTCCATAGATCAAAATAAATACAGGCTGAAGTACTTTATCGTCTGCACTTTCGTCCCACTCAGTCCATATAAATGAACACGAGAGGTCATTCAAACATAAACGTTTTCTCTGTTGGATGTTCATGCACGAACTCAATTTTATTTGTGCATGGATTTAAAAAAAAACTTTTAATTCACTCTTTGCTTTCTGAACATAAAGCACAATTTAATCTTGCCTCATCCTCACTTCATCGTGCGTTTCCTTAGAAAGCTCCCTGCAGTAGCTGTGGGGCTGGTTATGTAACGCATCCCTACAGCAGAGCCACTACACTGCTGCCCTTTCAGGTTTTGTGTGCCTTCGTGTAGGGTTGTTACAGTTTGTTTTCCCGTTAGAGGTGTCACTTTCACCTCAGCAGTTCATCTGCTTTTTAGTTATCTGTGCCCTCATAACCCTAACTAACCTGTTAGGACAATTATGTAAAATACGGTAACATTAGGCGAAGGCCTAAGCTGCTGAAAGAACCCTAAAGCCTCTACTGGAGGAAAGGAGCTAAGGACAAAGGTCTGTTTCCCTAAACGTGAGAAATGTTCCTTCCTGCCGTGTCACAATGTCATAGTCTAAATTCTGTGAGTATGTCTCTCCATATCGCAGCCAGTGTTTTATTTACAGTCGGTTTTGCAATCCATCTGTTGGCAGTCTTCGGTCAGTGGCCTAAAACAAAAATAAAAAGCCACAGTAATTTAAACCATTGTTTTACAAAAGAGCTAATATACAGTTGTGTTTCTTTTCGAGCCAGGCTCTCACTATGTAGCCCAGACCAGCCTTGAACTTGCTACGTAGCCCAGGTCAGCTTCAAGCTTGATGTCCTCCTGCCTCTGTGTCTGGAGTGCTGGGATTAGCATGTTTTCATTTTATAATAAGAAAAAGGGAGGGACTCAAAACATCCTGTAATTCCGTTCTGGATGCATAACGTCATTCCAGGGTTTCCTGGAGCCACCAAAGCAGAAGCCAGTGTTCAGAACACCGAATTTCCTTCCTGTTCAGATCTGCACACGACACACCCCAGAGTTGGTATCTTAACTTTTAGGTATTTCACGAGATGCCAGATTTGAAGCTGTGATGCTATCGCAGTCGCCATGGTTATGGTGCGACCGGCTGATCCAGGAGAGCTCAGTCGCCCTGTCCACTGGATGCCCTGCATCAAGCCCCTGCTCTACACTTAGACCCTGCTTGCAAAAATCACGACTCTAACATGATATGCCACACTCAGGTAGGTACCTGGGGGGTTTGGAGCGTACGCTTGTGGCACGTTATTTATTAGTTTGCTTATTAGCTGTATTTGTTCAGGGGGATCAGTACGTGTACATTTCGTATCTTGGTCATTTCCACCCTCACCCCGATCTCCACTCCATCTCTACCCTTCTGTTTCTGACCATCTCTCCTTCATTTTATTCTTTAATTCATTTGTACTTTAGGTTTCTCATACAAGGGACATCAAATGCCATATAACTTGTGTCACAACCTGCTTCCTCAAAATGCAGACTCTGACGTCTATACCTGGTGACACACTTCCCTATTTTCTTTCCCTCATTTTCTGGGACCACATCACCAAAAATCACATCCACCGCCATCAAAATCATCAAACGGCTCCTCCTTGTTAAGCTACTAATGGTCTCTTCCTGGGGAGTTTGTCACCTCCCCCATGACATCTGGAGCTACTCATTCCATCTTTCTCCCCTTCACTCTGTCCTTGGCTTCCCAGAAAGGACGGCCTTGGCTTCCTGTCCTCAGGGGTTCACCTCCTCTCCTGCCGGTGGGGAATTACGGCTCTGAGTGAGGACCTGGTGTTCTTCGTTCTGCAAGTTCCTCTCGTGTGTCTTCACTGCCCCGGGGACCTCTGCCTTCCAAGGTCCTCTGCCCTGGGGAGGTGCCGGGTTCCCCACACAGCTCAACTTGGGACGGGGCCCCTGCCTCAGGCGACCTGGAAAAGCTCGGCCACGCACACACCCAGGGACCAAGTCCCGTCTCCCTGGCCGAGAGGCCTGCTCAGCCTTCCTAGCTTACCCCTTTACCAAACCCCTCTCGCTCTCATCTGAACTGCTACCAGCGTTTCTGAGGAGGTCCCCTCTTGTGCCTTTTCACCTTTCACTGGCTTCGCTGGATCTCTGAGCACATTTTCACACTCTGACCAGAGGACCCTTTGTGTCCTGCCGTGATTCAGGTCGTGCCCAGACACTCACTCTTCAGTAGCTCCGTGTGGAGAGCAAACACTTAGTGCAAAATTTATTATATAATTTCCATCCTTTTCCAATGACACCTGTCACTGAAGCTGTCACTGAGCCTGACGCCGTGACAGAGGCCTTGACTGAACAAGACTAAGTGGGGAGAGCCCATGCAGGGTGTGCAAAATGGGTGTGTGTGTGTGTGTGTAGGACTTGCCCCCGATATGATAAGCACCTGTAGGACCCTCGTGTGTGAAGTAATGTAATGTAATAGATAGATAAGCCCAGATCAGTGCCACACAGACATAAGAACAGTACAAAAGAGAGAGCACAGAAGATCAGCTGGTCACACTCGGTGACCAGGAGACTTGGTGGCCACTGGCCGCATAGGTGATCTTGTACGAGGTCACAGCCAAGACTCTGACCCAGGACATCGGGAGGCACCAGCCCAGAGTGCACCCCTGGGGGCGAGGACACTGGTCACAGCTGACACTGACGTGCGAAGCACCTTACAGAAGAAAGTCGCGCTCCTTGGATCTGTGCAGGTATAGGGAGTGGCAACTGACGGGCGGTAGTTAGGAGAAGTGTGCTGTGTGATTAAAGGCATTCAGAAAGGCATTTGGCGTCTGCCCATCATTACTACCTGTGCTCCCTGCTCCCGACACGCCCCAGCGCCACGCCCAGGCCCTGAAGGTGACCACAGGCCTTTGAAATCCCCTGCTCCCGGACCCTGCCCACACTGGCCCCTTCTCCCGGGTCATGCCGGGTACTCGCAGTGCGGGTGTTCGGCACTCCCAGCCTTCGGGCATCCTTTCATTTCACTTTGGGCCAGACCAGGGCCACTCCTCCCACCCCACGTCCTCCGGCCTCCTCTCCGTAGTGCTGTTCCTGCAAGCTTCTTGCCATCGCTCACTTTAGAACCTTGGGTCACGTGTCCTCGTGCAGCCCTGGTGCGCTCCGTTCATAGCACATTTTACAGTGTATTTGTTTGTTGTTCAGACCCACACGGGGTGGGGCTGTGGCCCCGAGGACAGTGTCATCACGCATTTCCAGGACCTAGAGGCACAGGTGACTGGGTTCTGTCACCGCTCTAACCTCTCACAGATCATGACTCCAACTCTGCACTGCTCAGCCAGCTTCTGTCTGAGACACCAGCAAATCAGAATTTTTCTCTTGGTTATACCGATGCCAGCCTTTGAACAATTCTTAGTCGGTTTGTGACAACCACTTCTCCTTTGTCAGAATTTTTCCTTCTTTCATGCCGAAATAGTTACACTTTTTAGTTCACTGTGAACCACACTGCCATTGTTCAAAATGCAATTTTAATACCCTCAGAGGTGAATTCCAAATATACACACAGCCGGCACTCCCTGTGCCAGAGCTGTCTTTTTGCGAATGTCGTCTCCTTCGTCATCCTCTGGGATAGATGTTTTCTTTCCCTCTGTCACCAGGTGAGGTGACTTGCTTGAGAAGACATCCTGAGCACACGTAGAACCAAGGGTCCAGCCAGGCCGCCTGGCTCCCGGGCGGCACAGCGCACCACAGCCAACGCTGTTCCCAGGACGGTGTGGTGCAGCCCCCAGCCGGGGCTGCCTTGCTCCTCCTTACCTACAGCTTAGGGTCGGGAAAGAGGCTACTGCTGTGCCTGGAGAAATTAAAGCAACCTCAGCTTAGATGCACGTCTAAGTCCCACAGAAGGGCTTGGCGTGCTGGGTGGACAAGCACCAACACCACAGCGCGATTTCCGGTGGCATTTCGGAAGGCGATTGCTTGTCCCTAACCAGCCTCTTTCCTCTCGAAGACCCTGCGGTCGAGCACTCTCCACTTTCCTTGCCTCCTCTGCTGCATGGCGTGACAGCTTGTGGCCCGGCAGTGCCTCATCTGGGTGCCTTTTTCTCATCCTTGCTCTGAGCACCCCTCCTCCCTGAGTGGCCGCCAGCCCTGCTCAGCCCTTGTTCCAGGCTTCAGCCACCCCTCATCTGGCCTCGGAAACATGCTCTGCCTTCCCTGGGGCTTTCCCAGCGCACAATTCTCAGGTCACTGCCAGCACTTCCGTGTTTTACAGCCCACACGGAAGGCTCTGTGCACCCCTGTGACCACCGTCCTCCTACAGCGCCCTTAGAATAGCCGTTCCCCAAACCCGCGGGCACGGAGCAGTGATGGAGCCTATGCCGGCGCGAATCTCGTATTGAACAGAATTTCTGAAAGCTTTATGCACAGGCCAGGGAGAGCCGGCCGTTTCCTGAGTTTCCTGTCTCCAGAAGTTAACCACATGGAAACCCAGAAATGAACCACACGAACTCTGCCCCCTTCACATGCGGAGTGAGGATGCTGATGCCCCACAAAAGCACTTGTGGTCCTGGTTTAAAGAAAGAAGAAAAGGAGCTGAAACTGGCAGACGAGACTATGTGTGACAAGAGACACTGACTACTGTGGACTTCGTCCAAAAGAGCAGCCCCGCTCTGGAGGGATGAGATTGGCTCCACAGTTCGACAAAGGTCCCTCTGTGACCTCGAATCGCTCGGCAGCCCCTGTGGAGAGGGCAGACCTCCCACCCAGCACTGTCTGCCCATAAACCTTCTGAGAGGAGGCTGCTCTGAAAATGCCACACTTATTTTATCCGCCTCTTCTCCCTGCCTAGTGCACTCAGTTCTCTCTCAGCTTTACTTTTTCTAGGTTTCACATCTCTCTTGACTTTATCTTTTATCCCTATTACCTACCCTCTTTGTGCATTTTGTTTCATTTTTATTGAGACAGTCTCGCTATGTAGCACAGGCTGGCCTGGAACTTGTGGAGATCCTCCTGCCTCAGCCTCTGGGGGCTGTGATTATAGGCATGCACCACCACACTGGCGGAGAAGTGAACTGTTTCATAAGCACTGAGAAGCAAGCCTGGAATACCAGGGGTCCTGGGAGTGCACTGGCCTTAACTGACCCTACCTTAGCAACACAAAAAGGCTGCTTGGGCACAGCTCTTTAAAGGACTTTCCTCCTGGAAGTGGGAGGAATTGCCCAGGTCAAAGATGACACTTCTCTGGTATTTAACAAAGGCCTTTGGAGCCAGCCAAAATCTCTGCCTTGGAAAAGGAGAGAGGTAGAGAAGAGAAGCTGGTTTAGGTAGGGACCTATGAGCTGGGGAGTGTGGTCGGAGAAGCTCTCCCCGAGCAGGTGGCACCCCAGATGTGTCTGTGGGATCAAACAGCCCATTATGCAGTGAGTGAAAGGAAAATGTTTCATGGGAGGCCTTGGGAGCAGCCAGGGAGACACTCCGAGAGGGAGAGTCACGGCCTCCCCACAGTTGTCAGATGGGGTCCTCCCCTCACTCCTCTTGCTTTGCAACGAATTCATTAATATCACGATTTAATCCATTTCTGCCAGTAAATCTTAGCAAATATTTAGATTATTTACTACGCGTCAGGCTCTGAGGTTATCCGTGATCAAAATAAAGTGCTCACTTATATTTATGCGTGTGTGCACGTAAACCAATAGTGAAAGAAAGACCGTAAAAGTAGCGATGTCTCTGGTCGCTGAGTACTCCATGCACAGGATGGGGACGCGGAAGGCAAATGCTTTGAGTGGAGCATGCTAAGGAAAGAAACGCACCATTAAAAGATCCTAAGCATAGCGCGGCATAGAAACAGCAAATACAGGGCGTATGAAGTGGTTGGGCTTTTGTAAGATTTATCCCGTAAGGATGGATTCTAAAGCATTTCAAAAATATTCCAGTCACCGAAACATAAACCTTAGTGTATGATCTGTAGGTGAAAACCAGGCTAATACTGTTTATCAGTCCTTTCTAGGATAGTTTCTCAGTAGGTTTGGTTAACAATGATTTTTAGGTTGCTTCGTTCATGGGCTGGGGATTTAGCTCCATGGCACTGCGCCTGCCTCACAAGCCTAAGGTCCTGAGTTTGATCCCTGTTATAAGAAAAAAAAAAAAAAAAAAAAAAAATCTAAGGTTGCTTTTTTCAATTACGTCTTAATGAAAGGTGGGGAAATGTCAAAAACCTTTAGGTAACAGAATCAGACCAGGTCTGTATGGTTGGGAACAGGAAGATAACATCATGGACAGATGGAAAAGAAAAAGATCACGTGTAAGATCACGTGTAAACCAGGGCTACAAGAGACCTACCGAAGACACAACCACCCGTCCAGGCCCGGTCCCTGGCAGAGCCCTCCCCGGCCCAGCCAGGGCCCGCCCCAGTCCTACCTGACCAGGTGGCCAGCAGCGACACCGCGGCCAGCAGGCAGGCACCCAGGAGGAGCCGCCCCGGAGCATCGCGACTCCGAAGAGCCGTGCAGGGCGCGGAAGACGCCAACATCCTTCCGGAGTTGCGCAGAGGAACTGAGCGCCGGCAGCGCACAGGTGTGTCCCCTTTGATCCCGCTTGTCCAGACGCAACAATCCCAAACTCACCAGGTGTAATGGGCCATAGACAGGTGGGCGTGGCCTGGCCGCGGAAGTGTCCGCGGCAGAGCGGGATGGGCCAATCGGAGGGTGGTAGGGCGGGACCCCGACGGGGATAGACCAATTCTAAGGGTGTAGGGCGGGGCCTTGATGCAGCGGGCGGGGCCTCAGCCTGATGGTCCAGGCCCCGAGCTGATAAGAGTGCAGCTGACACGGGTGGCGCCTCTGCAACCCTGCGCTCTGGCCGCGTCCTCTGCAGCGCACCTGGATACCGGGAGCCTCGGCGTCCACAAGCAGCGACGGCACCCTGCCCAGGAAAGGTCCACAGCGACGCTGGCCTTGTCATCATTTCCGGGAGCGCGGGTTAAATACAGCGCAGAGACCTAAAAACAGGCCGAGGCTGCGGCGGCGGCGGGCGGGCTGGCTCCGCTGCTCCCCGCCCTTCCCCGCCTTGGCCTCGTCAGGCGCTGCTTGGGACTGTAGCTTAGCTTTTCTTGCTTGGAGGCTGCTAACTTTTGTATGGCCTTCTCTCACGGCTTGCGTAAGGTCAAAGACTTGGCCACGACACCCCCAGGTAATCTGCTCTTCCTCTTCCTCCCCGAGAGGGCGAGGGCGCAGGGGGAGGTAAATTATTAAGCAACGCCAGGCCTTTAGCATCCCGGGAATGCTAAAAATGGCTCTGCCCTTGAGCCATTAAATGCTGGCCCGCTGGAGAGGAGTATAAGGTACCGCTTGGAACACACAGACAAGGGGCGCTAGTGCTGGTGCTGCAAGAACTGGGGGTGGGACTCCTCTGCGGTGGGTGGTGGAGAACTTTTCTACTGAAGCTGTTTATCAGGCAATGCTGGAAAATTAAGATTGAGCAAGACTGAGTTGCTGAGTTCTGAGTAAACCTGTGCTGGATTAAAAAAACTGGTTAAAAAAGGCAACAGAACTGGCATTGCCAACAAAAATAAAGTTGACATTTTCTTTCTCTCAGATTGGCGAAGAATAAAAACATCAACCAGTGTATGAACACGTTGGGAAGTTCAGCAGTGTTTTAGTTTTTAACATCACTTTTCAGTATGCGAAAAGTGAACGTGATTGTGGGCCCCAGTTCCACTGTGAGTTGATTCCAAAGAAATCAGAGCTGGGAGCAAAAGTTTATAGTTTTGGAAGAAAAAAAAAAAAAACTCTACATGCCAGCCAGGGGTATTAAGGAATTGATGGTAGCTACCTTTATGTGATGGGATTCTATGCGGCCAGCATTGTAAAAGAGTATTAGTTGGAAATGATATGTGTGTAAATGGAAAAGACAGAGTCCAAATCAGAATATGCCTTTATTAAACTAAAAGTATTATACTGATACACATAAAAGGACTGTAGCCCAAAATTCATCATCTTTGTGCCTTTCACATTGGAATCAGACAGTTCACATTTATATTAATTGGTATATAATCATTGTGAATTACGCTGTATCCTCCATTATATGGACCTGTGGTTCTGTCCATAGCTGTATTGCACAGGGCCAGTGTATGAGACAGTGGTGAGAATCTGGATGCTCAGCACAGACACTGCAGATGCATCCTCGGGAATTCCGAGTTGACTTGTACATCTCTGTATCTGAGGTGTCCCGAAGACTTCCTGGTTCACCAAACCATGGGACTTACTTTTGTTATCAGAATACAGCTTTTAAAATCCTTATATGCAAGGGCTGGAGATTTAGCTCAGTGGTTCCAGCACCTGCCTCACAAATGCAAAGACCCAAGTTTGATCCTTGGTGACAAAAAAAAAAAATCCTTATAGGCAAGGCATATAAACACTAAGTGTGGCGGTGGTGTACAAAATGAAGTCGAGTAGAATACAAAAGCCTGATGTCCACGATGACCATCGGAGAGGTGGACACGTGGAGACAGAGGCAGGAAGCTCAGTGTCAGCACTTGTGAAAACAATCTCTTACTCGTTTCTATAACGGTACATATTACACTGCCTGTTTATTTCCAGATGTGGAAGATTTGATTTTTTCCTTGTGAAGTATAGTAAAAAGTTAGGAGAAATATTTTGGCTACTGTTTGGCTTCCTAGTTTCAAGGCGTACCATTTTATTGAAACTTTGTTTCAGCCAATAAAACTTCCATCCTGTGGTTCATCAAGCTAGTTTTTTTTTATTTAGTTTTTTTTTTTTTTTTTTTTTTTTTTTTTTTTTTAAATTTGGTACCAGGGATCAAACTCGGGGCCTTGCATTCATGCGGCAGGCATCGGCACAATTGAGCTAAATCCCCAGCCCCAAGACACTCTTTAATATAAAGAATTTCACAACGGTTTTCTAAAATTTCTATTTGACCCAAGTAGGGCTCTGTTTGCAAGGTTCCGGACCTTGTTCCCTACCTTTCCGGACAGGTTCCCTGAGTCAGGGACAGAGTTCTCCGCAGTGTTTCAGTGCCAAGATCAACAGTATGTGCCCAGCGAACACCTGATAAATACTGTACGGGAGAAGAGTCCTGCCGTTGGTGTCAGGTACACTTAACACAGTCTGGTTCTCAGCAGGAACCGACCAATGGTGTGCAAGTTCTGAGATTTTTCAGAATCTTCTAGAAAAACCCGTCAGGCACTACAGGCTTATTTGTGAAGTGGAGCTACTGTGTGTGCCTCAGCCTTGGCCTTGATTATTTTCACAACTAAGTTCAAAGGCAGAGCTGACTGAGCTTCTGAGATAATGGAAGAGTCAAGAGTCAGCTTCGAATGAAGTTGCTGAGTAAAAGCAGGGATTCCTCAGACTACCCCTGAAGACTGTGTCAACCTGTCAAAGGACAGAGGATGCCTGTGTATGTTTGTGGGCCAGGAGTACACTGACATTTAGACTTCAGACTTCCTTTAAGTCCTTTTAGAGGGGTGTGGGGGGAATGGCATTAAGTAGCCAGCCTCTTTGACATTTGATGTTAAGCAAGTCTTGGCCACCTCAGTTGGCATATTTACTTTGGATTTTCAGAAGTTGGGGTAGCAGCACCAATGGCCTGTTGGGACTTCCTGAGCACTTGCCATCCAACTGACCTTTAGTTCATTGTTAACTGTATCTGATTTCCTTCCCACTTACCAGCAAGAATGTGGGTGTGGTGCTCCACACCCAACCCAGGGACTCTGAAAGTAACAGAGTGGGAAACTGGCATTTCTCAGATGGAACACGCATTCCTTTTGTTCATGTTGCCTTTGAAGGCTTGAAAATATAAAATATTACAAATAAATTTGGAAAGATAAAATCTTTTTTTCTTTTAAAAGAGCAAATTTTATTTAAAGGTCGTAGACATTTCTTTTTGGTGGTACTGGGGATTTGGCCCAGTGCCTTTGCCCTGAACTACAACTCCAGCCCTTTTTTATTTTTTATTTTGAAACAAGGTCTCAATAAGTTGCTCAGTTGCCCAGGCTGGGGTCCAACTTGCAATCTTCCTGCCTCAGCCTCCCAGAATGCTGGAATTATAGGCATTTGCCACCCCCAGGCTGAGTCATAGACTTTAACTAGCATTAACTTAACATTTTTTATACAAAAATCAAATAAAAAACAAAGTTAAAATATTAGCACTAGAAATAGCTTCAGCAAACAATTGGTCCAGCCCATTTTTCTGATGAAAACTTTAAGGTCAGAAGTTAATAGAATTACTTAATAATACAAGTTAAATTGGAGATGTAGCATTTTATTCCTATAGTATGTATGGTATTTCCCATGATAAGCATTGTTTCTAGCCCTGTCTGCCCCACCCTTCCCAGTACTGAACCCAGGGCTTCACTCTGTATTCAGCTGTCTTTATTTGTTATTTTTAATTTTATTTTGAGACAGGGTCTTGTCCAACTGCCTATGCTGGCCTTCAACTTGCAAGCTTCCTGCTTCAGCCTCCAAGTAGCTAGGATTAGAGACAGGTATCAACATACTTAGCCTCTAGTTCTCCTTTAAAAATTATTTTTTCAAACTCCCAAGAAATAATAAAAGATTTGCTAAGATCTGGCTGAGGAAAAAAATCCCATCACTGAGCATCTCTTCATGTACTCACAGGCTAGGTCCCTTCTTTCCTGGTGACCTGGCTGCCTGTGGCTGTTCACTGGAGGCAGGAGAGAAGGGTGGGTCTTTGAATTTTTGAGAACTCTCGAAATAAGGCAATTCCTGTTTGTGACACAAATTGCACTTCTTTTCTTTGGTCAGTGGGCTTTTCTTGCTGTTTATTCTATCTTCTATAATTTTAAATTGAAATTCAAGTTGATGACTAGAGAATTCTGCCTCAGTTACTTTTCTTTTTACTGAGACAAAATATCCAACACCCAAGGTTAAATTAGGAAAGTTTTATTTAGTTCATAGTTTGTAGAGGTTTGAGTCCATAATTGTCTGGTTCTAAGGCAGGGAGGCCTGGCAGACAGGCATCGCAGAGGAGAAACAGTTCATGGTGGGCAGAAGGAGACAAAGCAAGCAAGGGGACCAATAAGCAACCTCAGCGGCTTCCTGCTGCTCCTTTTATACTCTATCGAGGCTGCTGGGATTAGGATGGTGCCAAACAATCAGTGGACAGATTTAGTAATCACCCATCCTTAATCCCAGCCTTGCACCATGAAAAAACACACACTCTAGAACCAGCCACCTCTAAAAAGCCCCGCCTGTGACCACATGAGGCTTTCTGGAGATGTCTAGACACAGTCGTAACACACCCTTATATCAGTGTCAAGAGACATATGAAAGAACACATTAAAGCAGCTACTAAAACATGAACTTACACAGCAATTAGTGATAATTCTATGAAGCTGTTATGTGCGTCTGTTCTGATATTTCCTAGAGATTATTAGCATGGTTCTTAAAATAACCAATTTTTGTTTTATAAAGATATGGAATGGCTTATTTTTAAAGTAAACTATAAGAATTTGAAAAAAATTTTTAAAAATTGACACAAAAATTATACTTGTTTATGAGAAACCGTATGATGTTTTGTTACATGTATACATACACTGTGTAATACTCAAAGGAGGCTAAATGTATCTCAAGCATTCATCATTCTTTTGTAGTGAAAATACTGATAGTCTTTTCTTCTAGCTCTTTTTTGGATATATAATAGATTATTGTTAGCTATGATTTTCCACTGTGCAATAAGGCACCAGAACTTAGCCCTTTGGGTACTCATTGATAAATTCCTAAAAGTTATGTTTTTTAGTTAATCTAGTGTATTCTCAGTTCATACAAAATAAGCTTCTATAATTAGAATTCTTTTATTTCAACTTTTCACATATTTATACAAAACAAGATACAAAATGCTTTTGAAATAGAACTTAGAAAATACTCAGACCTTTTTTGGATACTTCCCGATTACCCTTGACCACTCTTTTCCATAACTATCTAATGCCTTTTCAGTACACAAAATTCACTCTCATTCCATAGAGAAAGTAAAAAATTTATATATATATTTTTTAACTCCAATTTGTCTAAAGGTGTAGACTCTATAAAATAGAGGAATTATTTAAGAAAGATAGGTGTGTGTACAAAGAGACATATATAAAAAAGATTGGCAGAAAATGAGCTAAAGTAATAACAGTAGTTACCACTGAGTAGTATAAGTGGCTAATTTATTTATTTTTATCTCCCTTCATTTTCAAATTCTACGTAATCAGCCCACTTCACATTCCAAACATTTTAAAGTAAGAAAGAGAAATGACAGACTTGTAAACCAGAACTCCTAGGCAACAGTGTCTTCCTATAAATAAACAAAACTATTTTCTACATTCAAAGTGCAGTCTCGTTCCCTAGCTGGAGGCAAAGAGGTTAGGGAGGGACAGTGACAGACAGAGGGGCTGCTCTGCTGGATACTGGAAAAGCTTTTACATCTTCATCTCCGGGGGACCCGTCTGCATCTCTATGAAGTCGCTTCCAAGACTTCAGGAATCTCGGATCTTACTCTGTTGCGATGAATTGGCGCCTCTCCAAGCAACATGTGATCTGAGGTGTTTTCCAGCAGCTTTCTAGCACTTTGTTAAAGAAGGCCACTGAAATAACAGGGTATCTTTATTTAGATGGCAGCATGGTGAACTACAAGAACATACGTGCTAATGGTCCCACCGCTAACGTGGCGTATAAACTACAAATCCCCAGGGCTGCTCACTGCCCTCTGTTGTGGCTGCTAAGCAGGGCAAGGGAAGAATGGGAAAAACTGAGACATGGAGCAGATACGAATCAGATCAGCGAGTAACCTGACCTTTGCCTTTTCTCTTCTGTCAAAGAAAAGTAGTCCACAGAGTTGTGGAATGAAGTGAAAAGAGCCTCATTCCAGATCACATATGGGTCATGCGTAATGTATAAGACATTCACTTGAAAAAATACAAGAAAAGGGAAAAGTGGAAACGACGTCTTTGTAAACAGGAAAGGGTAGAGGGGGTGAAGGGAGGGCAGGGGAATGGGGAACCAAGATACATCATGTAAAGGTACAAGATCCCAGTGATGAATGTGACTGTACTGTATACCTAAAAAGTACCAATACACTAAACGGAAAAACAAAAACAAAAACAAAAACAAAAACATTCACTTGATTCCCTTCTGAAAAGTGGCGGAAGCAGGGACAGTGAAAGCAGGGGCGGCTGGCAGCCTGGGAAGGTGTCAGCTTCAGAGCACGGCACCCTCTTACTACAGCCGAGAACACCCGAATGCTTCTCTTGCTGCGCAAAAGCCTCTCTTCTAGCCAGGAATGCTACTTCCCACCTGTGAACAGACGCCTGTGAGGCCCTCCGTGGCACCTGACCCAGGTATCAGCGCTACCAGACCTTTGCTTAATCTCTCTGTCTCACAAGACTTCCTGGCATCCCCTGCTACTGCATCTCCTTCAGAAGGTCTCATGTGTGCGTCCTTCGACACCCAGCCAGGTCCTCAGCACCTACACCTCCTTACCTGTACCACCCACTCCCCCGAAACCTGGCCAGGTCTTCAGCTGGGCTCAGACTCCAACTCACTGCCCATTGTCCACCCTATCTTGCTACAATTGGTCTCGATCTTGTTAATAGGCCAGAATTCCAATTTTAAAAAGCAAATGTGAGACAGTTATTGAAGACCTCCACCTTCCCATTAAAAGGCGACCAACAGTAGACAGGCTGAGGCACAACTTGAAAGTTCACAGAGGTCAAGGAAAAACGAAATTGTGATAAATTTAATGCTCAAGTATTTATGGAACACTTCTTAATTCACTCTACACTCGAGAGATTTTAGGAAATTGAAAAAGTCTTTGCCCACCAGAAGTTAATACTTTAGTATGGGAAAGGAAATAAAAGCAGAATCTGTGGTACAGTATATGTGGCTGATGAGGAATGAACGGACCTCCGAATGCACGCAGCAGTGAAAAGGAAAAAAAGACATGAATGTCAAATACGATGGGATGTGTTACATCCAGTTTTAAGGATGGCAGAGATAAAAGACAAGATTCTTTTGCACAATCAATATAATCTCAAAATATAACCCTACAAATGTAAAATGATGTGCAAAGAATCTTAAAATTTTTTACCAGTACTGGGTGGAATCTATTACAGGCCATTTACATTTACGTTTTTGTATATTTCTCATTTTCAATCATGAGCACTGATTGCTCTGATGACAGAACATTTTACTTTCCAAATGGTTCGGGCAGGCAATGCTGCCGTGAGTTCAGAGAGGACATCATGCTGGACGGGGGCCATTCAGGGGTCCCGAGGAGTGAGTCCAGAGCCTGGTTAATGGAACTTAGATAAGGAGGGAGCGGGTAAGTGGTAATCCGGAAGGAATGATCCTACACAAAGTGTATCTTACACACTCATGGAACTTTTAAAAAACCATTTAAATGGCCACTGCTCTCATAGCCTTTTTGTCTGTTTATAACTGGGGCAGCACATCCGGCCTGGACTTCATTTTGAACAACTTTTCCATCCAAGCACCCTCAGGGAAAAGGGAAATGAACACTGCGGAGTAACTGACAGCATTCACCAAAGCACACTACTCTGACTGACTTTATCTCCTGCACGATTAATCATCCGTTCCCTTACATGTGTATTTGTGTCAATAGAGAAATAATGCCATTTTCCCTCCCACCTACTGGGATAGCACAGAGAAAAGGTACAGTTCTAGGACAGCATGCCACTTTCATCTCCTGACTTTTACACCCTCTTGCTGTCCTCGCTGCATAACCCACAGTATACGCAACTATCAGATTTGGTCATTTAAGCTTCCAAGACTAACATATAAATTCTGATTTTTTAAGAAAGCAATCCATACTTCACTTACTCTCACTAACAGTCAGGAAAAATAGGCTGTAAGAGAAGCAGCGTGCCTAGGAAGCCAGACAGTAACGCAGGGCACTGAAAATCCATTTCTAGCACAGGAAGCAGAGGGCAAACCTATAGATTTTTGCTTAGAACAGTTTGAGCTGTCTATACCTCTATCCTGGTCAACTACAAATATGCCTTTTTTTTTGTTTTTGTTTTTGTTTTTTTTTGTTACCGGGGATTGAACTCAGGTCCTTGCACTTGCAAGGCAGGCCACTGAACTGCTGAGCTAAATCCCCAGCCCAAAATATGCTTTTTCCGATCTCTCCCTTTCTGAGACCCTTCCACTGCCCTCCACTGAATTTGGGGTTCCTGGTGTGAAATACTAGGCTTACATCAATGTGCGTGAGTGTAAGGAACGGGACAATGGATGTAGCACTTTTGCTTCTGCATTCTACAAAGCAGCCTCCAGAAGCCATGTGCACGGTTGAGAACCCACAGAAAGAGTATGTCAGGACTCTGTTCACAGCCAGAGTAAGCAAGGGCCAAGCGCTCTGCACGACACAGAAAACTGGAGCTATGAATCTGTAAGAGGCCCACGAGTTGAAATGAGGTGCCCTGAAGTACACGGAACGATCTGAGCAAAAGGCAGGAGTGCTGGAGCAAAGAGTGTCTGAGAAGGGGTGGGAAGCCAAGGCAGGAAGTGGCCAGCAATTCCTGAAGATCCCTTATAGCTCAGGGTGTGCAAATTCCCCCCACCCCCGAGGACCAGGAGGTGAATGCTACTGTTCTCGGCTCCACCCGGCTGGAGTGGGACAGAGCCACAGAGAGCAGGGAGACAGGCGGGTGTGACTGTGCCACTAAGCTTCATTTCCGGACACAGGTGGCCTCCTGCTGGCCTTGGCTCATGGACGGTAGTTTTCGGATCCCTGACATTGTTACGGTCTGATTCATGACTCGCGACGTTCAGTTTTCTGTCATGTGCCACTCTGAGTTGTGGTGTTACCTTCTTTTTTACCGGGCACCTTCAGCTCATGGTAAGGCTGCACTGAGGCCGGCTTGTGGGTCAGGGTAACCCCCGTGGAGGACAGACAGGGAGGAGTCACAGGAGGGCGAGAGAGGCAGAGAATTAATTCAGTGAATGTCAGAGCTCAGGGAAAGGGAAAGTGAAGCCTCGGGTGTACACGTTAACAGAGAATGGAGGGCTGGAGGTGAGGCCAGGGAGCCCCTGGTGGGTTTCCTAAGAGACGCATAAGCATAAGCGCGCTCCTCCTCAGAAACTCACTGCACACATCGCAGAACGTAGGTGCTTTGCAAACGCAGTGCCTGGGCCTAGCACTGCCAGGGTCCTCACAGGAATCCCTGGGAATGGAAACACTCCAGACACAGACAAGCGCGCCGACACACGAGTGCACGTCTGGCTCACCACGTAAGTTCCTTCCTCCGCCTAGCGCAGTACCCTGCTCAGATTGTTTCCTTTTTCAGTGTTTGTACTGTTGCATGTTTTGCAGTCAGTAGGTGCTGTTTTCCTACCTGCTGTTTTCCTGACTTGTTAGCTGAGCTTGAGGACGGACACAGTCATTTTCGTGAGGACACAAATGGACATCTGCTCCTTTAGTTTTTTCAACTCTTTCATTGCTAATTGGCAGAGAAGGGGGAAAAATCAGAAAACTGTCTTAGATGTTTCAGTTTGAAAGGAATTCTTAACTTTCAATTTGAGATTTTTAAGATACACTGTACTTTGACTTGAGTTCTTGATATCTTTATAAGATATCTAAAAGAAAAAAGAATACTCAAATCTCATCTTTCAATACTAACTGAAAACTTGAACTGGGAGGTAATTCTCAAACCACCCTGTGTATCGGGACAGAAAGACTAAGTTGTTTATAGACAGGTGTTCACGTTTTAATACATTATGCTATTTCTAAAATAATTTTGCTTGTAAATGGGGCTTACCAGGAGATTTCTGACAAACTTTACAACGCAAATGGCTTTTGGCACTGCAGCCCTTACACAGGGCTTCCTTTTCCTCTGGCAGAGAACGTTCTATTTTGGGTTCTAGTAACACCCACGGATCCCAACAGCAGGGGCTGTCAGTGGGCTCTGCGTTCCCCGCCCCCGCACACCACACCAGGCACCCAGCCAACCTCCGATCAAAAATATTTGAAACAAATTACAACTCTGCTGGGCACGTACAGACTTTTTCTTGTCACTAACCCTTAATCCAGCTGTTTACACTGCCTTGTGGGTATGAAGTGATCTAGAGGTGATTATGGCATTTGTTGCTTGTAAAGAAAACCTAGAGAAGGCCAACAGCCAACCATCTGTGGGTACTGAGGGCTGGTTGTACATAACAATGGCCAGTAAAAGGAGATCTTTCATTATTTTTCATGTCAATAGTAACAATAATGTATAAAAATTCGGAGCCTACACCATGAAACAGGAACAAACTAAATGAACAAAAAAATAAATGCAATTCCAGCTCATTGAGAAATTTCTAATTTCTCCGGCACCAGTGGCCTTGCTAATGCAATACCCTATTCAGATTGCTTCCATTTTCAAAATCTGCAGTATGTGTCTGGTACCTGCTCTTTTTCTCCAGTCCCTCTTAACACAGTAGCTATAAAAATGTTCTTAGTATCACATGTATTTCCCTCCAGTGTAAATACTTCTCTATTTTACTTATCAAGGGCCCTTTTTATACGAATCACCACTGCTCCCTGTGAGGTAATATTCTGGTTGTTGCTGAGGTTTTCTCTTATTTCCCTTTGACGTCCATGAGGAAGCAACAGCAGTTTACATATTCTTGGAGAGAGTATGGTTCTACATACCGTTTCTTGCGCTTTAGAAATATCCAACAGAAAACAATTATGGCAAGAATGAAGAGGATCACACCACAGGAAAGGCCTGGGGGAAAAATAAACCCGGAACAAAACAAAGTGATTAATGCATGACCGGTATCCAGGGGTTTCAAGTCCATTTTAGTACCCAGTCCCACTGGAGACTGCCGCCCGTCTCCCGGCCCAGCGACTGAACCCAGGGGTGCTCCACCCCCGAGCCATGTCCTCAGCCCTTTTTATTCTTTATTTTGACACAGGATCTTCCTAAGTTACCCAGGCTGGCTTCAGATTTGCAGTCCACCTGCCTCGGCCTCCTGGGTAGCTGAGATTCAGGCAGGCCTATTGTTTTTTTAAAGCTTTAACTGGAAGTTCTGCTTTCCCCAGGTACAGCATTCTGCTCACTACCACTAGGTTACAGAGAAAGAGTGAGCAGGGCGGTTCTGGTGGGGACAGCACAGCTGCTGGGCCCATGGGCTGCCATCTTTTCTGCATGCCCGTTCTCCCGGGTGCAAACTCTTACTTCAAAGCCATCTCCTTACAGAAGCAGACCACAGAAGTGAACTCAGCAATCTGCCTTCCGGCTTTCAGATTGTATAAATGGGCAGGATTACTACCGGGAAGGATAACCCCTGGATATTAAGCAAGAGGAAGTTGCCTTTTATAGCCCTATTACAAAAAGAATTTCTGACACTGAAGAATGATTTGTTAAAACACGAAAGGTGCTCTATGTGCATTAAGGTAACAGCTCAGCCATATCCTGGTCTAGACTTGTCTTTACTTTTCATTCAAATTGGATTTATAAGACAAGACAATTCAATCCCTTTTTAGCTTTTGTTAAAATTGTAAGAAAATACTTACTGCTAAAGATGCTAGAATTTCTCAGCAAACCTTTCACACAACTTACCAACAATCATGGGAACATGTGAGTCTAAAAGAAAGACAAAAACCATAAAAACTTCAGTCTTGCACATGATATAACTGAACAAAAGCTTTAGCTAATACAATACATCCTGATTTTTCTTCAGTACTCAGTTAAATATAAAAAGGCTTTTATAAAAATATAAAAATTTTTTCAAATATAAAAAGTCTGTTTTTATTTCTATTTCATTTTATCTTGTGTCCTAAGTGAAGATTTTTTTTCTTTTTAAAATAATACATTCATCATAAAGGTAATATAATTTGAGCAGCAGGTTTATAGGATGGGTAAAAATAAAAACATCACTCATAATCCTAGTATTCAAAAATGTTTTGGTACTTTCCTATACTAGCTTTCCTGTTAACAAGGCTCAATACTGGACACCCACAATTTAAAGGAGGAAAGGTTTAATTTAACTCTGGGTTTCAGGAGGATCAGTCCATGGTCGGCTGGCTCCAAGGCGGAAACCTCATGGTAGAGGGGCCTGGCGGAGCAAAGCTGCTTAGTTCATGGCGGCAGGGAAGCAGGCAAGGGAGCAGGGCCAGAGATGAATGGGTGAGGACCGTATCTAATATGCCCTCTTCTGGTGGATGGACCAGAGTATATCCCATGATTTCTATAGCATATTTAAATTGTCTCCAGTTTTCTTTGTCATGAAATTCAATAAAATGCATAAAATATTTTTATGTTATTTCATTAGATTAGATTCCTGGGGAGCTAACGGACATGAATATTCATATTATTTTCTTCAAATACTGACTGTTTCTCTTAAGAATTTTTGCCCATTTATAATGATTCTTTCAACATGCAACGATACTGGTTTCATCATATTTTGCTTTTTATTGGGAGGTCACCTAAAACCTTATTTATTTATTTATTTAGGTACTGGGGCTTGACCTCAGGACCAGGTGCTTGCACAGGCACTGTTGTGACTGAAGAAGACCCAGAAGGTGGGAGCACAAGGGGACAGATGAGCCAACTTGTCTGGATCTCTGGAGAGAACGTCTGGGTAGAAAAGAGAGAAGCTAAGTTCTCGGAAGGCAGCTGCTGTAATAGTTATGACCCTGGGGGATAGAAATGAGTCAGGTGGATTTCAGGGCATTTCTGTACGTGCCATATCATGTAATCCTCCTTTAACTTCTCAGAGACTCCAGTGGAGACGTCTTGGTTTTTACATCATTTCTGAAGCTGAACAGATCTGGCTTGGATGGGACACTGTATTTATACTGGTCTTGAGACACACATTTAACCTGTATTAAAGGTGCTAACAGAGGCCATGGAAGATCTTGGTTCCTTCAGGCTGAACTCACTGGGCCACCAAAATGGGGATGTGGCAGAAGTTCATTCCTCGATGCCTGTACTTGGAAGCTGCTTCTCTTAATTTGGATTGCTCTAGAACTCCCATGGCTGTCACTCCAAGCCTGGGCCCTTTTGTGATTTAATTCCTGGTGTGCTCTTTAGAAAGGTCTAGGACTGGCATCCTCAGCAGCCTCTCCTAAGACACTTGTTTGTTTTCTGTGGTGTGTGTGTGTGTGTGTGTGTGTGTGTGTGTGTGTGTGTGTGCATATATATATATGTATAT